GCTTTTCTGGATTCTGATGGTGGATGGATGAACGTGAACGGCTGAGTTCCAGGTGGATCCTGGGGGCTTTCGAACAGGAGCTTGTCACAGTAGGGGGCTCTCTGTAAGTGAGCCCTCTGTCAAGCTGGGTTTATATACTAGTAAAACTAAATCCTAGGTGTTCAAAGGGGATTCTTAGTCCCCTTTCTTTCTCTTGCAGGCTGTGCAGCCTGGACCTAGTGATCAGTTGAACAGCAGTTTCTGAGAACCAACTTGAGTTAATGACTGTAAATGGGGGAATGTGGTTCCTGAGGATGGTAATTACCCTACGTATTTCTGAGGAAGAAAGACCCACTCTTCAGTCCCCCTTTTTCCATTTTGGTTAGATGCTGAAAATACCTAACTTCTACCCTGGTAATTAATTGATTACATGTAAGATTAAACTCATTTTAAGCTGCTTGATAAAAGTGATGTTCTTGGTTACACTAAGTGGTGTAATGACTTGTTTGGCACCCTGCTAGGTGACAGCCTGCTGCTATCTAAATGATACCATTTTCTGTATTTTTCAATGAGTTATGGTTTTATGTATCAGTACCCTCTGTTTGCTCTCCTTCTAACTATATTGTGTGGTAGGGCTACACACTTCCCCCTTTCCTCCCCTGTCCAACAATAGCACAGGCTATCTTGCTTTCCCATGGAGAACAGGTTGCCTGTCTTCACCTGGAAAACAAGGGAGTTTCTCTGCTCTGCTCTCAGCTTATTCATTGATCTTGGGCGGGGGGAGGAATGTAACAGGCTATGCTTGCTTACATTTTATAGAGTCACATGCATGGAAACACCTTTCTCTCTCTCTCTCTCTCTCTGTCTGTCTGTGTTGTCATATAATAACAGCACTAACAGCCATGTACTGTTTAGTTCTCCTGAGATATGCACACAGGTGCATGTTAAGCATAAGCTGGCACAAACTCGTTTGAGCCAAGATAATGGCTTTGTTGGAAGCAGAGGAACAATGATTTAACTTTCTGAGTACAGTTTAATGGTCTAGTCTTTGAAATAGTTCCTGTTTAAATGAAAGACCTTGAAATAGTAAGCACTAGCTTTCATGGTCAAAAAGAGTCTCATTGTAATTTTGAAAAACTTTTTTGAAGTACCAAATCCTTAGTCTGAGACTGTTTCTTATGAAAGCCAGTTGGAAGTGTGCCCGTCATTGTATGAACTAAAGTCAAGTCGGATAGGTTAAGTTGGATTCTACTTCGTTGCTCTATTAACTTTAACAGCTGACAGGTTCAAAGAACACAGACAATCTGCTGTGGCCTCAGAGAGGGGAGATTTATAGCAGAAATAAGGGTAAGTAGGTGAGTGGACGTGGGCTGGTGATGCTCCCTGTTCCAGTGGAGAGAGATGCTCATGGGAAGGAGATAAGATACTGGACTTCCAGCTTCAGAGGCAGCTGTGTTTAGACCTGGGAGGGTAAATAAGGGCACCATTAAGGAGTGCTGGCAAAGCGCTTGAGTGTTTTTTTTTTTATATACAGGTCTCATATTCAAGTCTTTGTTGAATCTGACATACTGATGTTGTAAAATATAAACTATATCTTGTGACGCATGACATTGGGACTGGAATTTCTCGTGTTGGGATGTTTAGTAAGAACTTGTAAACATTTTTCTTGTTTACAAGAAAGTCATTGCCCAAACTGATCCTCACAATACTGAGGCTAGTGCAGAATCACACTGGATTTTTTCAATGTGGACTTAAGTGAATTCTGAACATTTGGTACTCAGACTGCCATGCTTGTTTCTAAACAGATTTTTATTATCTGTCAAATAGAAAATATCTAACTGGACCAACCAGTCTTGCCTGTTAATACTGTTAAGGCTAGAACTGCACAATTAATTCTAAAAAATGCAATTCACACTTCTATGCGATCTCATTTCTAAATTACAACGGTTCTTTTACACTGTGTTACATGAGCCGAATGAAAACAAGTGCTCCTAGTCTCAAGCATCCCATAATTCTGCATTCTCTTTACAGGCTGCTTTTTCACTGCACCAGGTACCTTACTTTGGGTACTTCAAGGTTGTTTTCTACTGGCGTTAAAAACTGGTACTGGCCCTGAATGACATCACAACCAGTGGTTGGGATTATTTTGTACTAAATTTGAAAAATGGCTTTAGTATATTATAAAGTGGTACGATGTGCGATATTAATACCAACATTGCATGTTGTGCATATGCAATTCTTACTTTACTAGTCAGCTAGATTATGGTCAGACTTTTTTCTTACCTTCAATTCTGTATGGACATTATAGTGCAAGGGGTTTAGCTTATGTGGAAACATTTTTACTCTGTCATGGGGGGAAAAAATAACTTAGTTTTGGAGTTGTCATTATTCCTTTTATAGATTATCTAATATGTTTAAAAATAAGTTTAAAGTTTACCTCTGCTGCTTTTTCATGAGTGCTGCATGCATTCTCTGAAACAATCATAATCATTTTCATACTTGCTGTTTAAATCACTCCTAGACGGGTTTGTGAGAAATTTATGTTGAACTCCTTTTTTTGTTGAATAAATACCACAATATTTATTACAACAAAATCACATTGCAATACTTGGAAATTTTCCAATACTGTACGTGCTGTCCTTTGATCTGATCTTGAGTACTAAAGATTGAGTTACTACTGGTAATTGATGGGTCAGTTTTCAAAGTACACATGACGTATTAAGAACGAGGAGAATGTAGAGTGATGATGTGCAGGCAGTAGGGTGTGAAGATCCATAAAACCATTGCAATAAATCCATTAGTAAGGTGGCAATTCAGCTGCATAGATCTATAAGGTCAGGATTGATTTTTGGGGGCTTAGCGGGCTAAGCTGCTTTGGCTGTGATTGGAAGTTTGGCAGTTCATGCCTGGCTTCCCCAGAATAGTCACATCCGTGAGGAAACCCCTTAACCCCCAGCTCCATGGCACTGTTACAAGTGGCTGGCCAACTTGTTCTCACCTACATGTGTGTCTGTGTGTCATGGAGAGCGAGATGGGTTTGGCGAGAAGAGGATTTCTCCAAAGGGATCAATAAAGCGTCTTTCATTATTATTATTCTTCTTCTTCTTATTATTATTATTATTATTTTACATTACATATTGTGTTTATGGAGATGGACCTAACAATATGTAGAGATGCACTGTGACAGAAGTAGAAACCATTTCGGGTTCGTTAAGTGTGTCGATGTGTGAATGCACAGTAGGGGTGGGAGACCTGACAATTTTATATTGTCATTCCACTAATAAGCGCCATCAAGCTCACCAAGTTTCAACACAGACAACCCTTGCTATCAAGTTCAGCGACACTTGCTATCAGGGATTTTAGACAAAAAATATCAGTATCAGTCAAAATTTCCACATCGGTGTACAGGCAGTTCCCGGGATAAGAATGTTCCACTTAAGGACAACTTAAGAAATCACTTAAGGCTTTATTGCAGTCCAATTAACATATTGGTAAAGTGCAGTACAGTAGTCACTTTTATTGCTGTATAATAATTATTGTTTTGTATTATTATTTTTCCAACTTGCCTACAAATTCAACCTACGTACAGATTTAGGGAGCGGATCTCATTTGTAACCTGGGCACTACGTGAAAGCCGGGAGTTCTGTGATTCTCCTTTCTTTATATTTTATTAATTGTTTGTAATTAACAGAGGTGGTCAAATCAAGTCTGACTAAAGTTTCAGTTTTTATGACTTGATTTGCAGATTTATGAAACAGACTTGACTTGAGTTCGACTTCTTGAGCAAAGGCCGTAAACCCCAGTTCCCTCGATAAAGCGGGCAGCTTGCTCTCACTTACTATAATATGCCAGATACAGAAAAGAAAGCAAACTATGAATAATATAACACAGAATATGACTTATAAGCAGTGTGCTTTGATGGAGATACTTATTTTGGGGTGTTTAATGCACATTTAATTACTCACAAGCACTTGGTTACACAATATCACTATTAATGATGTCAGGTTTGGCGCCTTGTGATTTCTGTATGTCAAAAGTTTTGTGAGTTATTGTTTTTAAACACAATCAAGGCATTGTGTGACAATCACGTCCCAAAGGTTACATTGTCAATGAAATGGTGTTTGCTAGGTTGCATTTAGCATATCTGATTTAGAGCCTAGCTAGCCACTGTATAAACACATATTTATTTAGTATTTGCTAGTTTAACTTTAATACCATAGATCAAATATATTTAACCCAGTAATATCATCAAAATTTACTTGACCGGATATAGTCATGGGCTCAAATGCAGTACCGTGGCAAATCCTATTTACTAGGCTAAGGGCAAATACAGGTTATGGCAGAACAGGGTAGCGCCCTGAGGAATGGATTGTGACTGTTTGCAAAGTGTATTCTTGGCTGTTTTCTAGTTCTGCCATAGCTGCCAGACAGGCTCCCATTTCATTACTAACAGTGGCTTCGCTCTGCAGCGCCTGGCCCTGTCTGGAGGCGGGTGCCTCTACTGGGCGATGGACCAGCAGGGCTAAAACGGACCGGAGGGGTGCTAAAATGGTAATGGCTGTGGTGAACGCAAGCTGGTGATCTCATATCCCATGGCCATTCTGTCTGCATGCTGTGGGCGTGTGGGCAGCCAGAGCTGTAGCAAGGTGCAGGCTTCTGGACGCCGTTAAACCCCTTCTGGGGTTTCTCTGGCTGTGCTTTTCACCAGATTTGAATGCACAGTTCCAGTGCTATGAGGTTTCCTGGGTACCATTAAAGGGATATTGTCTTCTTGGTGTTGATTTTATAAGTCAGCCTGGTTTCTTGTGAGGTGTCTTTGTGTGTGAGCTTCATAATGGGTTTTGGTTTGGAAAGTTGCTTGATAAAGTTGCTTGATAAAGTTGCTTGATGAGTCCTTGTGTTGATGCAGCGTTGACAGTGAGCTGATGACATGTCTGTTTCATTGTGGGCTTGTCGGTGACAGTGCTCCAGCAGAACCTGCCCTAACGTGTAACTGCCTGCCTGCCTGCGCTGTGCTGCAGGTCCCTTCACAGACGTTGTCACCACGAACCTCAAGCTGCGCAACCCTTCAGACAGACGAGTATGCTTCAAAGTGAAGACGACGGCACCACGCAGGTACTGCGTACGGCCCAACAGCGGCCTCATCGAGCCTGGTGCCACCATCACTATTTCCGGTAAGAGGTCAATCCTGTCTGTGTCTTTAGACTGCAGCTCTGCTTGTCAGACCTGATATTTAGCTGGACGGGTGGAATTGGCCGTGTGCTGAATGCATCTGACATGGTGTTGCTCATAGAAACTTTGGCTGCGTCACTTGATGTATTCTCACTTTTCTTCCACAGTAATGCTTCAGCCATTTGACTATGACCCCAACGAGAAAAGTAAACACAAATTTATGGTACAGACCATTTTTGCACCACCTAATGTTTCAGACATGGAAGCCATGGTAAGCAAAGTCTCTCGTTCTGGTTGTCATCTTGCATATTTACAAGATTAGTTTCACTGTATCACAGTACTCCATGCCCTCATATAAAGGCTTCTTGTGTTAATCTGTTTCTGAAAATTTGTTGGTTGGTGTGATCTACTTTTCGCTGTGTAACATTTGTATTTTAATGGTCTAATCCTTTTGTATCACACTGAGCTCCTGGAATGAGTATTTATGTACACTAGAGGGCAGCATAGGTCCTGCTGAGTTTCCTCTTGGTTGTTTTATTTGTATACGATATAGATGCATCCTGTTGCCACCATGACTTTTGATGATGTCAGTAGAAACTTAATAGTTAACACTCATTTTTCTAGTTGTACTGTATTCTTAACATTTTTGATTAAAAATGAAAAAAATCTACATTTAAAAATCCCAGAGTCAAAGTTGTATTGTGAAAGAGTGAAACCCATGAGCTGGTGACTGACGCGGCTGTGTCCCGCCCTGGCAGTGGAAGGATGCGAAACCCGACGACCTCATGGATTCCAAGCTGAGATGCGTCTTCGAGCTGCCTACAGAAAATGACAAAGCGGTGAGATGGCAGGGACTACGCCCACCAGTCAGCGCCATGCCCGTTTCGTAAGAAGGCTCCCATGAGAGTCCTCAGAGCTTCTGTGCTGAAATGGCCTGCTTGGGTGTCCGGCTGTGCTGCCGTCATGGAGGAACCCCCTCTGTGCTCAGAAAGACCATGGGGGTTGGGGGAGGAGGATGAAGCGAGACCAGTCAGACTGGGCAAATGAGGAGACGAACTGGACATTCAGGATGTTTCAGGCAGGCAGAATGTTAGTAGTGCTGATGCGCTTCCACATGTCAGAACATGACCGATAGTCGCCATCAGGGTTTGCTGAGGAAATTCCTTAATGAACACTTCCAAAATGAGCACTTCCAATGTAATCTTCAAATATCGGCTGAAGGGCTACCCCAGTCTCCGTTACAAGACAAACCCAGCATAAAATACCATAAGCCTGCAAAAGCTACAGAGTAGCATTACCAAACCGAATTGTCCGGCCTGCGCAGTGTTGGGGGTGGCGTGTCTCGGGCCTGGGCAAGTCTGCCACATTTTTGTTGTCGAGTGAGAAGTGAGTCGGTGTTTGAGTGCGGACTGCCCTTCGGTGTGGGGGGCGGCTTTTGGCGCTGGCGGTGCTCCGGGGTGTTGTCGCCGGGGGCCCCGGGTCCACTCCTTCCTGCACAGCGGTGGGGGGCTGGGGTGCCTACTGAGCCAGCTGGTTAGCTGGTTTTCCAGGGGGTGAGTAATCCGCCCCCTGGTCTTATGAATCCCAGCCCCTCTCCCCCCTCATGCAACAACATGCCACACACACATGTAGTATCTCGGGGTGGGTGTATGCCGTGCAGGCTACAGTGGGGAGGGCCATTTACATGGCCTTATTCACTGTGCTGCGCGGCCTTCTGCCTCCCCCTGTTCTAATTGCACTTTAGTCATCACATACCAGTATACACACAGGGCCTTGGGGGGTGGGGGCACTACTCAGAGGCTGATGGTCTCACTCGCCTCTGCGCTGCTGCCGCCCCTCAATTTTACTCACACCCTATACATTGAGGGTCTTAGTGGGGGGTGATGTGGAGGAGGGCTGTTCACAAACAGTACTCCTCCACGCTTCCCCCGTCAATTTTAAAACGGTTATACTCACCCCCTACACTACATACAGTAACATACATCACCACACGCACACAAGCCCGCACATCTCGCTTACACAATTGAGCACGCATGTACATATACTTGAACGCACTCCTCCACGCACACACAACAATTTTGTATGTTTGTATAGCTGTTACTTTCTTTTTTCTTTATTTTTGCTTGTGTTCATGATTTTATCCATTTCTGCACTTCTTTCAGATGCTGTTGATCTTTTGCCTTTTCTTTTTCTTCCCTCTCCTTTAAAGGTGCTTCAATTGGAGACTGTGTATTGTGTTTTCTGCTTTACTCATATAGTTTTTTTAATTTTTTTTTCCTTTTCCTTTTAATCTGTCCCTCCTCTTTGGCCAGCTCAGCCACTGCAATATTTTACATGTGCTAAAAGTGAAATAAATAAAATAAAAAGAAATCGACCAACATGAGAGCACTATACAGAGTTTATAGAGCCCCTCATGGTAAAGCAGTGCATTCAGACCATGATTCTGCTAAAGGTGCCGGACAAGACAAGTTTTTTTTTTTAAATTTTTTTTTAAAAAGGGTTAACAAATGGGCGTGAAGGGAGGCATCCTTGTGACGTGGACTTCTAGCTTAAGTTAACCCAGCTAACTGAGAAATCTGGCTTAGTCAAACACCACCTAGAGCACCCGTACTGTTATTGAGGTTTTAAAGGGTGGGTGATTCCTGGTCAAGCCACCTATGATGCCACACCCAGCTCTGGTTCCCATTCGCTCCCTGTCTCTCCTCCCCTGTTCTGGCTCTTGTGGGCGACTCGCCCCGCGGTGACCTTCGGTCCCGGCACAGGGACTGTCTGCCACCCCGGCCTGCTCCCCCGACGGCCCTCGGCCGCTGGCTCCTGCTCTACCTGGCCAGTGTCTGTAACTGCGATAATACTCAGTGATTCCCAAGTACCGCTGACTCAGAGATGAAGGGCATAAAAATGCAGGTTTGTGCAGGGAGGCAGCCTCAAAGTAGAGTGCTGGGGTAGGGGCTGCCTTTTAAACATCATCTGCTGCTGTATTAGCATTCAGCCTGGGAGGTGGGACCTGTGCAGCTGTGTTCACAGCCAGTGGTCATCACCGTCATCACTCTGCTACCGTATTAGCATTTAGCATGGGAGATGGGACCTGTGCCAATGAGTTCTCAGCCAGTGGCCATCACTGCCATCACTCTGCTACCGTATTAGCATTTAGCATGGGAGATGGGACCTGTGCCGCTGTGTTCTCAGCCAGTGGCCATCACTGCCATCACTCTGCTGCTGGCTGCTTGTATTTCCCAAACCAGGAAAAAATATAGACCTTGCCATGGAGATCCAGGAACTATTCACTGTTCCTTTTGTGAATATAACCAATCAAACAAGCATGTGAGTGTTCAAGTGGTAGTTAGTATCATTGTGGCTTGCCGTTGTTATTGAAATTTGATTTGGCTTTTCTTGGGAGCATTACTATTAGGTTAAGAGTGTGATTGTGTTCCAAGGGTATATTCAGTCTGTAGGTGTAGTGCCCCCTTGTGTCTGGCAGCTCCTAAGGCAGCTTCTCAGGCTGCAATGCCTGTACATTGCTCTGGCAGTGGCTGTTAACCGGTTGGGTACCTTGGTGACCCCTTGACCGTGTCTGAGTGAATGTGAAAAATGGTGCACTTTGTTGTGCCCCTACGAACCCCCCCCCCCATCACACACACACACACACTGTCAGGGATAGGAGTTCTTCATAACCCCGCTTTATTTTATTGTCTTAAGTGCTTCTCCTCCTATGTCTTCAGAATGACCTTGATGTGAGCAAGGCCGTACCCATCCTTAACGCATCCAAAGATGGCCCAGCTTCTGCAAAAGCCGGCAGCCTCTCGCTGGACGACTCTGAGCTGAAGAAGCTGATGGAGGAATGCAAGCGGCTGCAGTGCGAGGTCGGCAAGCTTGCTGACGAGAACCGGCAGCTGAAGGTGTGTGGTACGGGCTCCTCGGGATGAAGGGTGCCGAGTCCAAGTAGCGCCCCTCGATCAAGCGGTGTGCTAATGGTCTCTCGCCCTTGCAGGACGACGGCTTGCGAATGAGAAAGAGTCCTCGCTCAGAGCTCATGGCGTCCAGCGCGGGGACCCTGATGGGCCGGGAGCACGGCATGGCCTCCAGCTCCCTACCCTCGCTGCTCGTCGTCATCGCTGCCATCTTCATCGGATTCTTCCTAGGGAAGTTCATCTTGTAGACGGGGACGCATGCCCTCCGCCTCCTGTTTTAAGGCCTGGGGAAAAATAATAAAAAGAAAAAGAAAAAAAAAAGTCTTTGTTGACCTGCCATGTCATTGGTAGTGCGGCCCACAGTGACCACGTTTGTGTACAGCATCATAAAGCAGGTCTGGCCTTTAACACGGTTAGTGCCGAGCAGAGGGAGAGGGGGCAGTTTGGGAATGAGAGTGTCTGCCAGGGGTTTTGTAAAATCGTACGTGAGCACGAGGAGGTTCGAGGAGCTGAGTAGAGCCTTGTGAATTAAAGTGCTGTTCTCCTCTGTCGGTTTTAATAGGAGCTGAGCGGAATGCTAAGTGTCTTATACATGTTATTTTAATCCTTTTAAGAAAAGGAAAACCTATCAGCAACAAAGTCATTTTGTTACCTGTTTCTGGAATGTCCTTTTTGTCCGATTCGTAACTCTCCACCTTCTTGGGAATGTTGTTCAGACCCGCGGAGTCTCTCCCTCCCTTGTACGTTAATATTTCTCTTTCCTGCTGACCCCGATGCAGGCTCTGTTTGATATTATTATTATTATTATTATTATTATTATTATTTGTATTTTCTTGGCACAAATTATATATATATATATACTTTGTTGACTGAATTAAGGTCTTCATTCTTACAATTCTATCCCATGGTATTTAACACTGATGGAAAAAATAAAGATAAAATCTTTATCATTGTTTTGAAAACCTTTAAATCCATCTGGTGTTTCTCCCCATGGGAAAATGTTCTGGAAAGTCTGTTGTTTCCATGGGAGTTTGTTTTCTGTTCGTTTCTCATTCCTGAAGTGGTTGAAGGTGTTCAGCATGTTTTTACGGGCCCTCTGGGGGGCAGTGTTTACCATGCACCTGCACCTGTTTCATTAGGTCTCGAGTACAGTGTGGTTACGTGTGTGCAAAAGGGAAAGTTGTCATTTTTCAGCAAGACTTCGGTCCTCTTCAGTTGTTCCTGGTTGAAGGTTGGTTTCCCATCTCTGGAGTGCTTCACTGAAAAGGCTGATTTTGACCCCTTTCATTGCTTTTAAGGCCAGTAGAGGACGCTGACCTGAGGTACTGTCGATTGTAACGTACAATTATAGGTGGTTGGCTTTCATTCAAGGATCTTGAAATGGAAAAGTTTCTCTGGTGTTGCGGGGATGTTTAATGAATGAGCTGACGAGCTGCTGGATGGTGATGCCTTCGCCACGTGATGTCATGCCCCTCCTATGTCATCCATAACATAGAGTGGCACTTGTGCTGCCCCCAGTGCACGGGTACCTGTCCTCAGCACCTTCCAGCCACCTTCCCACCTGGCTTTCCTTGAATGAGTCCCCGGAAGGTTCTAGCCGCATCCATTGCTGCGCTGAGTTGGCACTGGAGGCGGAGCCTTGCTGAAAGCTGTCGATTTAAGCCGATGACCTCAGGTGAGATGTTCGTACACGTTGGGACAGTGCTGTGCTTGTGACATTCACAGACCTGCTCTGTGCATTCAGTGATTCATGCAAGTGTGGATTTCAGTGAACGCCAGTGTGTTTTTGTTATGAAAGGTTTAAGAGGACGCGTTTGTGGACTTCATGTGGTTAATGTATGCATTTTTCCACGTGTTATGCTTCCTTGGGATTCAGTTACAGGATCCTGTGCTTATCAGAACTTCCTCTGGGGCTAAAGTTCAAGCCCAATGGCTGACTCATGCCACACAGTGATGATGTGGGGGAACCGGTGACAAAAAGAATGTGTAAAATATCTATGAAATGTCGGTGTCGCTCCCTTGCTGGAATGAGGACCTTCATCCAGTTTTTTGCAGCCATCAATTAAAAGTGCAGTGGAGTGAATGATATGTTTGCTTGGCCGTGTAGATCCTGCAGATCCCTTTCAGTGAGCTGGGATCTGCTCACATCCTGCTCCCGATACCTTTCCACTACCCCAATTACAATTCAGTTACCCAAAGTCCACTAATCCACACTTTGTCCAGACACCAAAACATGACATGGCTTGTATGCAGTGTTTGCATTCATCTCCTGGTGCGTGTTTCCCAGTGGGGGCAGCCTGATGCTGAATGTGCTGTAAATCTCCCCTTAGCTGCTTCAGTACCATGTGCGTCTCCAACATGCGTGCAGCTGTGGCCTGCAGGGTTTGTTTTTAATAGTAACTCAAACACAGACCACTGTAACACTGGGATGTTGCCTGTAATTCTTGGACAAAGTGTAACGCCACTGTCATACGATAAGCTGTGTTTATGGTTCCAAAATGGTTATCAGAAAGAGCTTGAAAGCGGGTGTCAGATTTTTATGGACATGATACCTATCTTTTTAGTCCGTTTTGACTGTTCCTCTTGTACAAAATCCTTAATTTCACATCGGACTAAAGGAGATCACATACAGCTTCTTGCTTTAACTGTTTTGCGTTGAATGTCTGTAAGGCAAAATAAAGACTTTTTGGCAAGAGTTCCATAAATCTCTGTAATCATTACAGCTGGAACGTGTTTTTATTACGAGTGAAAACCAAATCTCCAGAAATCTGCAGAACTGATTGTTTCTAGTATAAACCATGACTTGTATTTTTATACAGTCAAAGATTATATACATTGTAATTGGGATTATAACTGAAAAAAGATGCTGACTGATTAAATAACCAGTGTAGTTTGTAATAACCAGAAAGGCTATTTGTAAAGGCAGAGAGAACACTCCATACGTCAGGATGATTGTACCACGAGCCCAGCCAGGTGGGAGCCGGCCCGTCCAGGGTGCTTCCTCGGGTTAATGATTATTCTCTCGGTACATATCCAGCATTGGTGAAGTTCTGCTTGTGGCTGGACAAGCATATGTGATGGGGGCCCTTAGTGAACAGGTTACAACTCACAGCAAGCGGTATCTGCCAGAAACTGGACGGGCTTTGGCTATTCTGCAACAGTGGGGTTTCCTTTGTATACGGAGAACCCACCAAGCTCTTCCTGGGGTTCCAGGCATCCTCAGGTGTGGCTGAAGGTGACAGCAGGCCATTTCACTCGCTGATGGACAGGCAGGAGGGGCACTGGTGTGTGTTATCAACAGCGCCCCCTTCAGGGGAACCATTTTTCATGTTTACTCGGACATGGGCAAGAGACTTTGCTAACTTGGCTATCAAATATATCAGATTTACACTTTAAAATCAGTTCTGAAAACACATTTTGCGTTGTGAAAGTGGTTCACAGAAGAGGTGGTTTGATACAGAAGAGCAAGGTGGATGCACTCTGTGTGCGGTCTGACAGGAACCACACCCAGGGCTGTCCCTGGACTCCTTTTGACTCCCGTCACACGGGCGGCAGAGTGTCTCGTGTACATCACCAAGAGAGAAGCGCAGCAACGGGTGTAATTAAATCACTTTAATTTTCTAATTACAGAGTCAAGCTTAGAAACAGATGCTAGCTGAGGGCTGGGAGCGTTCGTATCTGGTTCTACAGCGAGATTCGCTGGCTTTGGATCGGTATCGAGGGACTGTTTCTTTCATATGGACACGTCCCATTAGTCTCAGCGGCCAGTAGCAGGTTCCTGCCAGATAGCATGACATGCTTTTCCCTCTAGAGTCTGGACTATGTACAAACCCTTAGCAGGTCTGCTAAAGTGCATTTACTGTGATGCATAAGCGCTGGCCATCATAAGACACATCCCCTTCAGCCCCCTGAAGAGCGAACTGTCCAATACGTCCAAGTGTGTCAAGTGAAGCACATCCCTCTGAGAATGCAGTGACTCAGTATGGTCTTCCTCTCCTTTTCAGCCCAACGAGGGGCACAGGAATGGGGGTGTGGCTTAGCCCAGGAGCAGGAGAGGGAAAAGGAGAGCGAGTGCAATTTCCACTGTGGCCACCGTGAAGCACTGTGGGCACCTGCTGCTGAGACGCAGGGGCAGGTCAATGTCCTCCGCAGCAGTGCTGGGCCTGTGGCCGCTGGTGGCACACTGCACCAGAGGCAGCTGGTAGGAGGTGGCCCTCCTGTCGGGCCGGTCCGGGCTGGAGCCGTCACTGGGCCGCTGGCCGTTGTAAAGCAGGTAGCGGCCGCGTGGGTCCTGCTCCATACGGAAGAGCTCGTACTCAGTGTGGGGCAGCCGGATGCCCAGGGCCACGCAGCCACTGGTCGCTGTGACGTCCTGCTCCACACCCAGCTGCCAGGAGCCCTCTGCCCCACACTCGTGCCCATTGAAGACGTTGAGCAGCGAGGTGGTCGCCTGGTCCATGGGCCTCACCTTCATGTGGTTCACTGTAATGGGGGGGGGGGGCACATTGTAGCAGAAATTAACTGAATATTAGTAATGTTCAGGCAGCACCAGATTTGAAGATAATCAGGGCTTCTATTGCAATTTGGCAGCCATTGCCCTCCCCCCCACCTGCTAATGCTGGGCTCTGGCTGGGGGACCTTGGTCCTCCTGCACTGTTACCTTTGAAGACGAACTCGGTGCCACCCATGACCCTGGTGGAGTGCACGCCGCGGCTGTAGCGCCCCCTGGCGTAGATGCTGAAGGTGGGGTGCTTGCATACAGGGTCGGAGTAGTGATGGTAGTGGCCCTCCCAGGTGTTGTTATTGTCATGGAAGGTGAAGTGGCGTGTGAGGAAGAGCACCTCGGGCCGGACCTCACAGTGCCGGCTCACCCACTGCCCGTGCAGTGCCACTGCCAGGTCGGCTCGCGGTGGCAGGATGGGCGGCCGCTGCTCATCTGAGCGAGCGATGATGCGGCAGGCGATGCACGTCTGGTCATGGTTCTGGAATGGGGGAGGGAGGTGGCCAGTGGAAATTGTTGACCTGCCATGAGGCTGCCAGCACAGTGCCCCCCCTGGCTAGTGGGGTATGGAAGCCTTAAGAAACAGCACGCAACACCCTGCAAAACACTCTCAGATAACTGCATTATGAAGAAGAGTCATAGCAGTAACAAACAGGAACGTCTTCAACGGCGTAAATATCCCTGGGCAGGTTTGGCTTCCTGGGCTCTCACTGTTTATCTGGGTGAGCTCCCCATGTTCAGCAGCACAGTGAGATATAGCTGTGATTTCAGAAATTCACCCAATTAATCCATACGCGCTTCAATGTCTTCCATGTGCAAATTGTGCTTCCGCGTATTTTCTCAGGACAGGAACATCTTTTATAGCTAAACAGATGCAGGAATTCCAAAAGCTGCCCAAGGCAGGTCATTCTCGTGTCTCTAGCCAGAACAGAGGTATTCCCAGCATGCACTGCCACCATTATGTCCTACCGATGAATGGCTCCTGTTACACTTAACACACTCTGTCTCTTGCTTGTCAGATGCCCTCTGACACCACTCTGCTGAACACGGGATCTGACCCAGCAACCTTCTGATAACAGGCACAGTGTTCTAACCCACTGACTCACACCACCCACACCTTCCAGTATTTCTGCAAAAGGAAACACAGGCGCCTTACTGGGCGACAATTATGGGCTGTATTTATGCGTTCTGCGTTCCTTCTCTGGAGCATATGTCTGGGATGTAGGGCCAGCTGAGGTCTCTGGCCGGCGAGGGGAAACGGGAAGCCACGTGTGTTCAGCAGGGCTTCCTGCCCTTGTGAATCCGGGAACAGTCACGCGGCATGCCAACCTCTACTGATGCCATGTGAGTAAGTACATCTGCTTGGCTGCTTGGACCCGGTATAGTGCTGGGGGATCCTCAGGAGCACTAACTGATGAGATTCTCCCGCTCTCTACTTGGAACAGGGCAGATACTACAGGAAAAGCTCAGCGTTACTAATCAGACAGCATCTGTGATTAGCGGAGCAAATCTTTGTCATGCAAGCCCAGCAGAGTGTAGCTCAAAACAGGAGTAATACTGCCATCACCTGGGCTGCTCTGAAACTACATGTGATGAAATTGTAACGGATTATGTTATTCACATCGATGGCCTTCTGGCCCTGTCCAGAGCAGCAGGGAGCGGGAGCGAGGGCCTTCAAAATCGGGCCAGCTTCTGATCCAACCCCTACTCCACAAACTGTCTGGCTGTCTACCAGGACAAAATACAGTAGTCTTCTTGTCTTTCCTTTGAGGTATAAGTTTTATCAAATGCTTATGACTGCCAGTGGAGCCCCTGTTTTGGGGAGGGGGATGTTTAATTTTCTGTGGCTGAGCCACAGATGGAGAGGCTTCAGAAATTCATGCACTTTTATGGGTGGTTCTTGTGGATTTGGCCCAGCTTCAGTCGATCGGCCTCTACCATTGTAATTAGAGATCAGAGATTCTGCATACCTCAGCTTTAGTTCAGGGGCAGCCCACTTCAAGGAAAGCCTGCAACCCATATCTCTGCTCAGGACCACTAGGACCACTAGACCTTGTATTCCTGCCCCAGCTTCCAAAGGCTAAGCACCGTATCTCTGTCCTGGCTTCAATCACCTGGGCTATGTATCTCTGGCCCAACTTCAAACAGTCGGGCCCAATATCTCTGCCCTGGCTTTAGATGCCTGGGCCCTGTATCCCTGCCCCAGCTTCAGACAGCCAAGCCTTGTATCTATGTAACTTATTTCCCATTCAGTATCTTTCCTACATTTTATTGCATTTTTATTCTAAAGCACTGCAAGGCAAAGAGTTTCACCTGCATGAGACATGCCATATAAATCAGGGGTTATAATCACAACTCACCTTGGCGTTCTGCAGGGCCGTCTGGTAGCTGGAGGGCCTGTAGTACATCCTCTGGCCCGGCTCAGTGTGCACGTCGCCCAGGAACAGCTCCTCCACCAGGTGGTCCAGATTGTGGTGCATGTAGTGCTTCTCCACGCGCAGCAGCTGCAGCTCATGCATGGCGAAGTTGAGGCCCCGTGAGCAGTCGCAACCTGACGCCTCATTCCACAGGTCGTAGCTGATGTTGGGCTCCCAAGGCCCCGGACCTGCCCCTCCCGCACTCCGGCAGCTGTGGCCCAGCCTCTGGCTGAGCTCCTTGGCCACAGCCTCACTGTGACACACCAGCTGGGTGCGGTGGACCTGGTAGTCGGCCTCAGTGCCCCCACGGATGATCCAGGAGGCCTGGCGCAGACGCAGCTTCCCCCGAATCACCAGCGTGTAGGTGGGCATGCTGCAGTGGTTGTCCTGGTAGTAGAACTGGTAAGCCTTGAATGTGCTGTTGTGGTAAAACCGATAAGACCTAGTGATGAACTCTGGACCGGGCCTCACCTCACAGCTGCAGGACAGAAAGAGAGTGTTAAAGGATGTCTGGGTCAATAGCAGAAGACTGATGTGCTCACTACATTGGAGGAGGCAGAAGCTCTGCTTGCTGCTGAGTAAACAGAAAGCCCTTCCAGACATTCATGGCTGTTCATTTACCCATGCTCAATAACGCATAGGCCAGCCGCTCCCCGATCACATCCTGGCTCAGTGCGAGACACACATGGTGCTTGCGCACATGTCGCTCCTCCCAGCCCTGATGCGTCACATCGGGCAGCAAAGGATCCATGTGCTCTAAGAAAATAGTGCAAGCTGGACTGCTACTTCAGAATACGGCTGCTAAGCAACAAGAAAGAGCATAGCCACAGCACTTCTGGAATAAATTTGGTGTTTCTTACCACATTTGCATTGTGGTGAGGAACTGTTTGAACAAAGACACTCAGACACACACTCTCACACCACACTGTTTTATCTTCCTGCACACACAAGCCATTTCTCTTTGGCTTGTGAGAATGAGCAGCCCGTCTTCAACAGTTAGACAGTCAGCATCTCTCGTCTACTATGATTTATCACGTCAATCCCCAAACCCTGCTAAAGAACGTGTTAAACATGCGGAGAAAACCTGCTCCAGTTTATCAGCGGGTTCAGAGAGGCACCTTGTAGACACCCAGTGGCCTTCGATGTTGGGGGGCATCTGCACAGTGACACGGGCCCCGTTGTGGAGGTGCTTCAGCATTTGGTGGCACTGGGAGTCCTTCGCATGCCAGCCTGTGTTCTTCTCCAGGGACAGGGGACTGGCCCTGCCATCGGGGACCTGCAGAGACGATCCTGCACCACCACCTGCAAGTATGAGGAGTCTAAGCGAGGAAAAGTCACTCTAACCCTAACTTCCAAACACTTCATTGACTGTGGAAATATAAAACTGGACCACAGCAGATATGATTTGCTGAGTCTGCTTTGCTGACTGCTTCAGTGACCCTTGGAACACCAATGAATGTCCCGTATGAAGTCTCCTGCAACAACTGATGGCACATTAATGTGAAATCTAGCCTTTCCTGAGTTAAAAGGCAAAATGCATCAATGCCTAGAGAGTCTATGAACTTTTTAAATTCCTCATGAAATTCAAATCCCTCAGTCTCCTGGCTTCTCATATCTTGCCTCTAGGAGCTGCTAATATGGTTGATTCTGTGCTGAGGAGGTAGGATACTTGGCTGCATATCAAACATAAGAAGAACCTGCCAGCTGGTCTGGGAGTGTATTTCCTCAGGAGCTTGGGGTATTATGTAATGTGTACTGAAATACTATACTAATCATGTACTTTTGTGAATCAATACAGCATTCCACAGCCTGGTGCACAACTGGTGTCTGCATGCAGCTCGCCCATATCCAGCAGCGACGGTTTCCCCGGCCACGTGCTGCAGTGCACTGAGGCAGAAACACCTGCATCATAGCGATGGTCTCGCCCAGGTGATGTGATTGATACATCAGCTCCTGTGCAAAGCTTTCAGATCTTGCCCTGGGGACTGAATGAGCAGGCGGAGATGCAGTTTAGAGCATTTGGTGCTATGTCTCCCGGGTCCTCCAACCCGCATTCAGCAACGTCACAGCACCTTTTGATATGTTTACAGAATAGCCCTGTGCAGGGCCATTTTTAGGCAGAGGTGCACTAGACAGTCGCCTAGGGTACTACCAGCCCCAGGGGGCGCCAGAGAGAAGTGATTTTGAAATGTATTTATTTATTGGTGCACCAGGCGAGTTGTGTTTGTCTCTCTCAGGTGATTTTGATCAAAGTTATTTTCAATGGCAACGTTCTGTTTTCAGTTAGGAAACACAGGAAAAATGAAAAAAGTACGCCATAGAAAAGTTTGAAAAGATGAAAACTTTGAACATTGTCTCCTTGGTTTTTGCTATGATTTTAGCTAGGGTGACCAGATAATCCATGTCAGGGAGGACACTCTGAGCTAGGACAGGAATTGTAAATTACCATTTCAATTAAGCGGACCTGGATTTCACTTGAGCACTCAGCTCTTGCTGTGTGCTGATTGGTCAGTCTCCTATAATCATGCATGTGTCACTAATGCTAATGTGAAACAGCTGGATGAGTCTTTCAGTCAAGGAAACAAACCAGTCAAAGCACAAGAAGAGCTAAACTATTTAGCCGAGCACAGGAGCCTTTCAATTAGAAAGTAGTTTGTAAAATCCGAAGTAGCTCAAAGTGTCCTCCCCGACATGGATTGTCTGGTCACCCTATTTTAGCAAGCTATTTTAGTAACAATAATTAGCTGTCCTGCTAAATGTTTGACATAAAAAACTAAAAACAAAAATGAGATAACATTATAACTTTATAGTCAGTGCCAAAATAATGCAAGATTATTTTTCCTGGACTCCACAAGACCTTTGAAGGTTTCCGGTGGTATCTGGCACCAAGACCACAGCAGCAGATCTGTAAGTTGTCAGGTGGCACCTCCATGGATTGGACTTGTTTGTCCTATACATTGCATAGATTGACATTGAGATAATTTGGGGGCCAAGTCCACACCTTCAACTGTTTTTCACATTCCTCAAACCATTCCTGAGCAATTTTTGCAGTATGGCATGGCATATTATCCTATTGAAAGAGGCCACTGCCGCTGAGGTATATGCTGGCCTTCGCTCCCCATGTACATCAGTGATCCTTGGGTGCCCATGACCTTATTGCCGGTTCACCGGTTGGCCTTCCTTGGACCACTTTTGATAGGTACTGACCTGCCATTTTGAAGGTGCTCTGACCCAGTCATCTAGCCATCACAATTTGCCACATGGCTCTATGGGTTGATTGTGCACCTGTGAACCCCTCAGTTGTGTGTTTGAATCCAGCCACCTCTGTTTTTGTCTTTAGTAGATATTGTTTCCTAGTGTTTCTTTTGTATTAGTTTTCTTGTCCTCGGGTTTCCCTGCTTCTATTCTGTTTTGTTCCTTTCTGGTTCTGTTTAATTATCCATGTGTTCTGTTCCTAGTGTTTTATTCCCAGTTAATGTTTTCTAGTTCTTGCTATTTGTTAAGCTCTCTAGTTTCTGTGTTTAATTATTATTAGTTGCACCTGTTTTCTTGTGCCAGCCCTTATTGACTGTTTCTCACCTGTCCTGCGTTATCTTGTTAGTCCTCTGTATTTAAGTACCTGATCCTGCTCTGTTCCCTGTGGAGTCATTAACTGTGTTTTTTTGATACTGGTTCTTCTGTTTGCTGTGCGTGCGTGCCGTTTTCTGTGTTACTGGTTTCCCTTCGTAGATAATTTTTTGTCCTGTTAGTTGTATTATTCCCCTGTTTAGTTCTGACCCCTTGTGGTCTTTTTGTTTGTAGTGTTCCCAGGGTTCTCATTATCTGTAAATAAGCCCCTGTGGTTTTGCAGAGCTGTAAGTGGATCGTCACCTTCCCGCCTGCACCGTGCCCCACTACCATGACAGGTATCCTTCACAGATGCAACTGTAATGAGATAATCAGTGTTATTAATTTCACCTCTCATTGGTTTTAATGTTATGGCTGAACAGGGTATATAATTCACAACGCTAAACAACTCAAAGTATTAAGTGCTTACTCACTGCCTCAAGAAGCACAACATATCAACATCTAGTTGGATTTTGTTTCAGCAGTAAATATCTATGATGAATTTTACAGATGCACTAGAATCATTTTTAGGGAGTACAAGTGCTACTGTGGAAGGGTTAGAAACCTGAGTTAAATACTAGGGTTTGAATTTTCCTCTGCATCTTTGTCATCTTGTTTGCTCCATATAGTATTATTTCCATGCCACTATTATCAATGCTATGTTTATAAGAAAATACGTGATATTTAAGTAATTAATAAAAACTGATTTGATTTTGGGCCTATTGAGCACATGAGGCTTCAGGTCACAAAATTTCTTAGAAATGGAAGACATTCATCATTTGAGGAGTCAGGATTATTCAATGAGCTCACACAGGTCAGACAGCTGGGGTAACAATCTCTCACTGGCAAAGCCTCCCGTTCTCCAAAAAAGCCGGCTGCCATGTTTCCACACCATAATTTCGTAGTTCTCTCTTGTTTATACATCAGAGCCAAAGGTGATCATAATTGTTTAGGTATTTAATTAAGCACCAAATCCTGTGTGTGTCAGGTGTGAACAGAGTCTGCACATTCTCTCCCACCCAGACGGCCGCGATGCATCACTTGCTGTTTGTCTGTGTTTCATTGGCACCCACTGATTGGCTCAGCTGGGTTCTGCACTGATCCACTGCACACAGTATATTCAGAGTTTTAAGGCTGTTTTCTGTTAATTCTGTTTCTTCAGAGTCCGAGTATGAACTGTACAGTCAGGCTCACAAATCTTGCTGCTCTTGTTTACTCTGTAATAAATTACTTAAATTGCAGCAGAAAATGCTGTCTGTCCCCCTGCTCAAAGTCTATAACGGAGGCCCTAGTCCCAGCACCCGAACCACCAAAAGCATTTCCAGCTGGCAGCTTCCCATTGGTGAGGTAACAGCTCTGGGACGTCTGACAAATGGGAGCCAGGCAGATCATTACAAACGGGCTCAGCCACAGCTTGTCTGGCCCTGCTGTTCCCTGGTCCAGCTTGTCCTTTGAACTGCACTTCCAGGAAGAGTGTCAGCCCCACTCTCACTGGCAGTAGGTTGCACTCCTGGAGGAATTTGGCTTAGTACAAAGAGTTCAAAGTGTGATATAGGCAATGAGATTGTTTTAAAGATACAGTCAACTTTGTTTTGCACGAGGAAACTATGAGGTTGTTTTTTTCTGGTTTATGTTAACTGTCCATAAATTTAGTTGCCATTTATCTGGAGTACTACTTATTTTATTGCAAATCAAAAATCGACAATATTTATATAACTTATTTCAGTGAGAATAATAGACACATTTTCTAGAAATGATTAATAAGGCATGCTAAATATTCATTTTATACGCTATGACCTTCGTTAAAAAGGATGTCCCAGGTCAGGAGAAAAATAGATACAAATATATATTATTGTTGTTGATGTTTTAATTTCATTTACATGGTTTCTTATAAAAGCAGTAATTTTCGCAAACTTAAACCACCGCGCTTGGTTTAGCATTTAGCTGAGTTTGAAACGGGACACCCCTAATGGCGCAATGTAAGGCCATTTTTAAACTGCTTTGGTTTGCTTTCAAAGACCACCGAGGTTTATTCCCATCTAAATTTACGACGCACAGTAAACTGGCATGACATTCATTTTTTACCGCCCATAGGACAGGCTGCAATAATAGGCGAGTTAACTGAATGTTACGTTTCTTACACACACTTTGCAATAAGTGGATTTTGAAATATCTTTTTCTATCTTGCAGTTTATTTGAAGTTGCAGCGAGCAGCGGTTATTCTGATCAGTATTTGTTTTTATCGCTTTACATGAAAAAACGTCGCTGGCATCGCTCCATCACGTGTGTACTGTACTATTCCTTACTGTTATAACCATTATCTCGGCAAAAAGACAGCATATGTTCCTTTCTGTGTATTGTTAATATTATTATTTGTACTAGTAGGTGTAGTTACATTACTATTACCGGAGATGTTATTAAAATAGACCTAAATGAACTGTCGTGAGTTTTAAAACCCAATAAAATTTTGGCTACGGCACTTTGAGCCACTGAAAGTATATATTCATAAAAAGATCCCGCTGATACAGCCAACAGAGTGCGAGGAGGCAAGATATCACTACCGGACATTTTCTTCTGTCCACAACTACTATGGTCTCAGGAAAAATCCAGATCTAATTTCTCTACCTTACAAGAAACTTGTAAAGAGCTATACAAAATGAAATGTAATGTATCTTATGTAACTCCAGGGGTATGCAATACAGTACACAAAACACTTGGTACAGGAGTTGAAATAAGGTTAACTCACCAGCAATCACAAGTAGCAAAACCACGAAAGCGTGCGTCGCCCTCAGGATGGAGAATAACATCCCGTTTTTCCTTACTTTTGTATTTTCCGCGTTTTTGTTGCTGAAAACGGTGTAACTGCGCACCATTCTTATCTGCAAAACTCCGTCAGCACGGGAAAAGAGCGAGACGGGACGGCTGGCGGAGGCAAGCAGTATTATAAATGGACTCTTATTGGGTACGACTTTATTTTCTGTTCTTCTCTGTTTACAATTAGATTATTCCACACTTTTTATATTAGTCATGCCGATTAGCAAAGAAACCACACTTGCAGAGTATCTGAAGTCCAAGTGCGACTCGCATTCCATAGAAAAGGTTGATGAGTCTAGTCTTCGCGTCCCAGATGCAGAAACTGCGCAGTTCTCTTTATTAAGGAGGATCTTAGCTTCCTTTGGCTGCAAAACTTTCGCGTTGACGTGACATTACTTTTGCAGTGCAGTCCCGTAGACGTGATGCCCCCACCGCGCCTCTGCGCTTCATTGACCGCTCCGGGCGCTCCGAACTGCAGCGCTGGAGGCTGAGGAGGGGCGTCGGGGGTGTTGACTCAAAGCCCTCCATCAAACTCATGGAAGAGAGTTCCTGTTATTGAAACCTGAATCTAAACCTTCAACGAGGGATTAGCTTCACATCAAAAGGGGAAGGAAATCGTAGTGCTTGAGCCTCAAATAACATGTTGGTACATCTGGAATCCTCTTCGCAAAGTTTCAAGGCTCCATTGAAAATGTGATGGAAATTATTTCTTGTGATATAATATGATCGCATGTGCATATAACTGTCTTGTTAGATGTATACGTCTACAAATCAGTGGAATTTGATAGTTAATTGAACAAATAAACTTTACCCAAACTACTGAGTATTGTTGAGAATAAAAAACAGAATAATAACTTAACGTTGTGCGTGCAGGGTGTCCTTTGACGGACTGACACGTAAATCTAAGAAATCAACGTAAATTGGACCGCAGAGATTTACTGCCAGCTAGTATGAACTCGCACATGTAATTATACACAACATAAGACTAGATAAATGCTTGAGATTAAAACGTTAAGAGATTACAGTGAACAAAGCATCAAAACTCAGGCTTCTCCGGCAGGCTAAAATCAGCATAGGGCATCTGTTAAAAGTTTGTATTATCGGACCCGATTTATTAATGACTCCGCTGTAGCAGGTGACATAGCAGGTCTGTTTTTAAGGCCAGGTGGCTTTTCATAACGCGCTGGTACATACACCTTCATATCAGATTTTAACTTTTTTTTTTTTTTTACATAAGAGGAAGATGTCTTTGCTCAGAGATCAAACGGCTATTTCATTACGGGTTGACCTCATAGTAACTGCAGCCAGCCGCGTCAGCCAGGGTATTTCCCTGCTCGAGGACACGAGGTTAGCAACGTAGCCTGTGTGCCGTTTAGAGTGGGGCGTGTGGGAGGAGACTCGACTGATCTAGTGGACCAGGATCAAAAGATGACGTAATTGGTGTTGGTGCTTTTTTCAGATTTCCTTAAATTATTCTTGTGCTACATAAACACAATGTCCTTATTTATCTTATTTTAAATCATTTTAAAATGTGGCATAAAGCGTTCAGAAGAAATTCATTACTGATCTCCCCAGATCTCCCCAGCTTACCGCTACAGTGAAAAGTCTGTCTTTGAAGTGTGAAAGCACTCTCCCCTTCTGCTGTGTTTAAAGTCCTTTTCATTTTCCATTTTCTATTCCTGCAGTTTTCCACTTCACTGTTTTCCTCCTATAGAAAGTGCCATATGGATGAGGTGGTGCTTGTGCCGGTCTGGTGAGACATGTGACCGCGTGCCTACACTGGATGAGATGGTGCTTGCTGGAAGCAGTGATGAATTCAGTCATGAATGAATCATCCTGAGTTTGACAGAAGCAGAAAAACTCTGTTCTCTCTTGCTGGGGTTCCAGTTTCCTCAAATGACTTTGCTTTGTATGTCAATATGGATTCTCTATCTAAAAAAAGTAATTTCTCAGATATGACAGTAATCCTTATTTAACTCATGTGAACGCTGAGATTCTCATGCTTTGCTGCCTTGATTCTGAAATTGTTTTTGAATGTGTTGTCATACCTGTGTGGGACCAGATGGTGGCATGTTACTACCTTTATCACTGGTGCAGGATAATGACAATCAAGCTCATGTGGAGTCTTTACCAAGCGAAGCATCTCAGCTCTAGGAAATAAGAACCAATAAACCAAACATATCCTTTCCTCATTAAATCTTTCCAAGATGGGCTGGAAAAGCTGAGGCTGGGAATTGCACCCCGCTTCCTCAGAAGGGTGGGGAATTGTGGTGGGACACTGCAAGTTTTCCAGCGGCTTCGATGGTGAGGTAACCTTCCTCTTCTGCGAAGTGACAGAAATTGAATGAAAGGGATGATGAGACTTTCATGATTTCCAGTGAGCTATTTCCCATGGGAAATTGGGATATACTGAACATGTAAGGTCACCGTAATCCCCACTATATACAAACTGGGATATACTGAACATGTAAGGTCACCGTAATCCCCGCTATATACAAACTGGGATATACTGAACATGTAAGGTCACCGTAATCCCCGCTATATACAAACTGGGATATACTGAACATGTAAGGACACCGTAATCCCCGCTATATACAAACTGGGATATACTGA